GGAAGGTGTTAAAGAGGACATCGACATGTTTTTTGCTTCAAAGCCAAGTTATTTCTTTAATCAACGCATTAACAACCTGATTGTAACTGTAAGATGGAAAACATCGTCGATAAGAATGGAGACTATTTCATTTAATAAATGTTTTGTTTTTATATATAAGTTGTTCGGGTTCTTTCATCTAAAAAATCGACAGTAATTTCTTGACGATCTAATAGTGGCAACATTTAATTTTTTGACTCTCTCCTAATGTATTAAAAAAGCGATGGGTCCATTACTAACAATATGTTTAGGCCTAATTGTCGATTTTTAGGCGCTTCTATTTAGATAGTTGAAACATATAACAGCTATAAAATAGTGAAGTTTTAACACTGTGGTACCAAGAAGTGAAAAAATCAACTATTGTCATGTGTTTCTTCTTTAATTTCCTATGTGTGTATATTTGTCTAAATCGCATTTTCATATATTCTGAAACCTTTAATTATTTTATTTCTCATCATGTGTTAGCTATAGAGCATCTAAAATAAAAGTTGTGGCAATTGTCGTAGATTATTTAATATAGCGGGTAAACTCGGTGTTTCGCACACGAAGTATTTTTAAACTTTAGGCTTTATTGTCAATTTTTAGGGGCCTGTTTGAATTGGTTTGTTTGTTTTGAATTTCGTGCAAAGCTACACGAGGTCTATCTGCGCGAGCCGTCCCCAATTTAGTAGTGTAAGACTGGAGGGAAGGCAGCTAGTCATCACCACCCACCGCCAACTCTTGGGCTACCCTTTTATCAACGAATAGTGGGATTGACCGTCTGAAAGGGTGAGCATGTTTTGTGGGACGGAGATTCGAGATTGCGAGTCGCGCGTCCCAACCACCTGGCCATGCCGGGCCTGTTGGAATTGGTACTGAGATGTAATGGTATTGTGTTATTATACCAGGAGAGGTAAAAAATTAACTTAATGTATTTCCTTGCGTGTTTGTTTATGTTACTGAAATGTTAGTTTTGCACTAGTATAGAACAATGCCCGTTAAACGACCTTCACTTTTGCACTCGTATAAACGAAAAAGTACCACTTTACAATTAACCAATAGGGATATCGGGTTTCCATAGGAACTAGCACTCATACACACATTGAACTGATTAACACATATAAATAGCACGTTGTTAAATGTGGTTGAGCAAACTTGTATTGTTATTTATGCATGAAATAGGACTTAGTTGCTGAAATTTTCTTAAGGAATAATTCGGTTATACAATTTTTCCTTTTAAATTATGGACGTGATCTTAGAGATTTAATTAATGTGCAATGTATATTAGTATTACAAATTATGAATTTACATTACAAACCTAACGACGTATGTGCAGCCTTGTAACATGTAAGGCTGTATTGGTTATTAGTAATCACGAAATTTATAATGATTTGTTAACTGTATTTTATTTTTAAACCTTTCTGTTGTTATGACTATAAATTATAACCAACATGTACCTAATCTAACTGTAAAACTATCACTATTAATATTAGTGCATTAATATTATACTTCATAACCAGGTTTAATAAATCGATATAATTTGTATATTTACATGAAATAATGTTAGTTTAGTTGTTAAAGCTTTAACAACAATGAAATAAATTATTTCATAAGCCTGACAAAAACTTACTTTTATAAGTTTCTTTAGTACTTGTAATATAATCCCTTATGATGGAGTAATGGTAAAGTTGTAGTGGTTACTAAAAAAATGACTTGAGAAGGAAATAGGCAGTCTTACTGAAGTAATAATGTGTTTATGTAGGTATAGAGTTTTTAGTTTATAATTATTAAAATATTAATCTGTTAAAATAGATAAATTCTAAGGAATTCAGTTTAAAACATGTTGATTAATTTTAGTGAAAAGTTGCAACTTGTATAATTGAGATCTGTCTATATGTATATGAAAACTATCTATATAGGTGGGGGAACCAGGGGACAAGGTAACATCCTCTCAGATCTACACCTGGTGGGATCAAATAAGTGCTTGTTAATAATTTTAAATCTGCTATACACTACATGTCAACATTTTAAAGTTGAAGTCTATAGATGACACATTTTTCTGAGAGTCCCCCCCTCCTAATTCTCACAGAATTACCATATTTGGTTCTTAAAAGCAATTTAGCCCCCTTGAGGTAACCTTTCCTTCCTCTACTTGGAATTTATCATTACAACCTCTTTGTTTTTAAGCCATGAACTCTAAAGAAAATAAGATTTTTATCATATGGTGAATATAATTTATATCTTTTTTTTTTCCTTTTGTTCCAAATAGGACTGGCCAACTTCCTCATAACATGTCCATTAACTCTGAATCTCCAGCAGTAGATGATAAGAAGGTATTCAAAGATATCTTGTTTCTATATGCATTTCATCAGTGTATCTTCTTTTTTGTTGATTTCAGTTCAAAGAGCACTTTTTGTCCTTTAATTATAGATTATTAGACAATTAAGTCTAATGATGTCAAATAATTATAAACATAGTTGAAACTTCAAAAATAATTTTACTGAAGCATTTTGATGCACATTAAAACCTTATATTCAGGTATATGTACTTTGAAGTTAAAAAATATGCCATAGTGATGTAATTAAAAGTTCATTATTTTGTGGATCTTTGAGAATCTTTTAATATGATCATGAACAGTTAAAAACATATATATATGTATTTATATGGCAAGTTTACATATTAGTATGTTTACAAAAAAATACTATTCCAAAATTTACTTGTATTGGGTATTATTATCAAAATATTTTAATCATACGAAGCAAACCAATTTATGGTAGAGAAAAAGGCTCATGACTGAAAATTGCACTTATATTTTAAGAATGCTATTTTTTTTTACCGCTTACATACTTATTCAAAAAAGAAGCAGAAGAACCAATTTAAGGTATTGTTAGTTCAGTTTATTTTATTTACAGTGACTCAATGCATAACTGGATATAAAAGTGGGTATTTATAGCACTGTTTGAGATTCATAATGAAACATTCAGATTTTGTTAATACTTTCCTCCCAAACTGTTAGCAACCATGATAAATTAGTGTATGTGTATGACAACATAATTTCCACTTCTCACCAAATAATGTGTCCTCTCCAATACGTCACAGGTTACTTCCTATATACATTTCAGTGTAATGTCACAGACACGTCAAAAGTGTAGACTCTCAGAAACGTCAGAACTACCTTTCATTGTGATGTCACATATTAACCTTTCCAAGAATTAATTGAAACTTGTCTTAATTTTAAACACTACTGTTGGTTTCTTTCTATTTATCAATAAAAGCATACACATCACACCTCATTGAGTAAATAAATTTTATTTTATATATAATAGTACATTGAGAAGTAATAAATTACCGAAAGATTAATTGTCAGAGATTGAATAAAAATATAGTAATCAACAGCTACTCAAAATACTAAACTTGTGAATATACATTATTACAAACATGCAAACTAAAAATAATATATATCGTAAATACATGCACTCTTAAAAGTGAAAAATCTCTGAGAATCATCACATTGTGTCAGTATAAAAATGGTCTACATATTGATCCCTTGACACTAGGCTTCATAAAGGAAAATAATCAATATGATATTATTTTGTTATAATCATATTATAGGAATATGCTGAGTAGCGCAATCTCAGAGTGCAGTTGATTCATTGTCACCCATATATAAGGAGTTTCAAAATTATTAAATCTGTAAATGGTCAAACAGCCCTATTTAAATGTTCCTGTAATTCTGTGGCATTACAAAAAGTATTTATCTTATCAAAACTGGTTTACAAAGTTTGAATGTTCAAAGACAAAATTTAATTCTTATACTTTTCAGTTAGAAAAATTGACATGCATCAGATCACGAATGAAGAGTGTAGTGTGACTCTGTAAAGTATATATAGCTTGTGCTGCTGCTTAGTGAGTGTTATATATAATGTCTCAACTACATCTTCAAAATGTCCCAAAGAAAATGTGGTACCTGTGACCACTCAGAAACGTATATGACACATAATAAAAATGATGTAACACAAGCACCAAATTGTGATCATAGGGTGATATCACAGGTACATGTCATCTTTGGTGGGTTGGTAGTGAGGGCTTTCCATTAGCTCTTAAAGCTTACATTCTCAGTTTGAAATTTTTAAATTGTATCTTAAGTTATATCCTGCATAATATCTTTTCATCTCATTCTATATTCTTTCTAATTGATTGAACAATTGCTGTTTTTTTACTCAATTTTATTTTTTATGAAGGCCTTTATTTTATTCATTCTTAAACTGTTTTGATCCACCTGTATTATAGATTAGTAGTTTCCTTTTTTGCCTTTTTAAAGCTTGTTATCTGAATATTGTATTAATTCAATTTTTGCAGAAGTTTACTTTTTAAATGTTGTTTGATTATTGTCCTTTAAAAATCCCTCGATCTGTCCACTCACTATTACAGATATTAAACCCTGGTATTTCAAGCTTTGTTGAGGATGTTGAGGTATTATGAAATAACCTTAATCACTTGGTAAATTTTGACATATATTTGACACATGACTTTTAATTACTGTAAGTTCAAAGTAATGCATTAGGGTAAGTATAATTTAGATGATATATTTAATATTGTTGGGAACCTACTCAGTAGTTTGACTAAAGATAAGTCACATAAGCCATTGAGGGCTGTGTTATGTTGCTAGTAGTAGTAATGAAGCAAATAGAATTTTGGAGTTTATTTATAGACATATTACAAGTCAAAAGATGTAATTATCTATGTAGTTAGGGCTTACTTGAAAAAACGTTGAGCCCATCCTATATATTTCAGAAAATTCATTGATTTATCTTTTAAATTCCTGTAAAGTGTCAGCCTGGCTATTGCTAACAAAAACTCATTCCATAAATCAATCCCCCCTTTTAGAAAAATAAAATTTACTTAAGTGGACCCTAGCATGTCTTTTTTAAATCTGAAACATGAGTCTTCTTGTCTTGAGACTAAAAGACAAAGACATCAGGGACCTTCATTCTATCAATCTCTAACAGATAACCTTTCATTCCCTGGAATTATCCTAGTAGCTTTTCTCTGAATCCTTTTCAATAAGTCAATATCCTTTCTTGGATAAGGAGACCAAACTACACAATAGCACTTCCAATACAATACATACCTCTTCTCAATCTTCCACTAATCTCTAATACATTGAAAATAACTTTTTCTTGCTTGACCCACTAGCCTTTATACCCCACAAGTTTAATCTGCTCATTTAGCATCCATAGAGCATGTGTCAAACCTCCACCAATCGGAGCATGACACACTCTCCTTGAGCAGTTGGCTCCCTCTGTATTACTTTATGTGAACTTCCCTTTCTCGATTGGCACAATAGGATTCAGATTTGTTTCTTACTTGCTTTCTGTTTTCTTTTTCCCGCCATTTGTATTTTTTCTCATCCTTAGTATTTTTATGAATAATTTTACTTTACAATTTCTTGCATACAGGTGTGTTACTGCTTTTCTCTGTGATTTTCTAATAAGTTATTGAGAATTATGAATTCACAGTTTACTGTGATTACCACTGTGGCTTTTGGAGTTAATGGTAACACACACACCTGTTATCCAGGTCTTGGGTCGACATTGTCTGCCAGAGAGGTGCAAGCCTTGGTTCACTGGGAGAATATGGACTACTCGTTTTATCTTTGTTGCTCATTCCCTACACCCTCTAGCTGTATCCTTCTCTAGTAAATATCATCTACCCCCTATGGCAATTCTGCACACACAGGTTCAACTCTATATTGGGTGTCTTTTTTTTTTGTTATGTTTCTTTCATGAGCCTCCTTTTTCTGCAAAATATATTCAGATTCCACTCAGCGGCGAGTGTTGCCTGGTCAGGTATGCTTTCCTTTAAACCTGCACCAAATACCTTTATGGTTATAACGCATGATGTTGAGATGGGGTTTTCCACAAGATCACTAGCAGCTTACCTAGTGGTATAAATATATCTATATCATAATGTTTTAATATGCTTCATACTGATATGTCCATGGTGGAATGCCACTCATGGATTATCATGGGTAAAGCAGAAGAGTATTGCTGCCCATCCCTGCCTCTCCTTCAATTGAATAAATCGAGAGTGTTCTGCTTTTCAAAATAGGGTTTCATATTCACCCATTGCAATTTCTCTGGTGTTATGTTCCTCAGGACTACCCAACACCTCCCCCCCCCCTTTCTTGAATGGAGTTTGGGAGTACTTACCACTTTCCAGTTCCTAGCTGCTGGGGTGGTGGACCATGGAGGCTTTCTCATGAGTGTAGAAACCATATCATAAAATTTCATATTACTCCACTCAGTTTAGAAGAGGGTAAAGCTGGGAACCCTTCCTCCTACTACCCCTGGATGTTTCTTTCCAAGTGTGCTGTTGTTGGTTGGAGCTGGACCCGCCAATGCTGGATCTTCCTTGTAATACCAGGTTCAGGTAGATAGTACCCTGTTCGTATGGTTGAGACTGGTAGATGATTCCTTCTTGGTAATTCCGATTGCAAGTTGTTTCTTTTCCCAGATCTTAAAGTTGAGCTTGAGGGACCTAATCCACCTCATAATACCAGTTGTGGGATGTACAATGCCCTGTTCCTATAGTTGAGCAGGTGTTCCACATCCTCCTCATAATGCTGGCAGCATGATGTTTATTTCATGTTCAAACAGTTTGGATGGTAGCATTATTTTTCTGCTTGTAATACCAGGTACAGATGATTACCTGTTCTTATGATTGAGTCGAGGCTTCGACACAGCCCTGCAAAACCAGGTTTGGTTTTTGTACTTCATGCCTGTTATGGCTGATTTGGAAGTAAGTCTGGTGGATACAGTTTGCTTACTTCCTCATTGTAATTCTGGTTCCTTGCAGTATAGTACTCTGTTTACTTATGGGAGGGGTTGGTGTATATATTCATCACAGTCTGCTTGCCTTGGCCACCATACACTGTTTATAATGGTTTCAATCCACCTTGTAATACCAAGGAGGGGATGTGGAACCTCATCTGGATAGTTGGGGTTGAGTAGATTCCTAGCAATGCCTAGATGGATACCTCCACCTTCATAATTCAGTGAACTGGCCATTGGCTTTCCATTTTTCTGTGTGAGTTTGGAGCTACCTTTCAGTGTACAGATTTTTCTCTTTGCAACTTGTGACTCTTATCCTGCCCGAGTTGATTTGTTTACGGTCATGTTTGTATAGTTTAAGTTGGGGTGGGACTCGCATTGATTTTTCTTTTACACCTGATACATTGTTTTCCAGGGTCTTTTTTTTTTTACTCATTCCAGGCCTCAATGGCACTCATTTTGCTACACTGCACTTCTTTGAGGGTGAAGAGCATACATGTTCCAGAAGTGGAGCAGTCCCCAATATGTGTGCTTCCATTCAATTACAGAGCACACTTGATCGATTCTCTACAGATGCTTTCTGCAGGGGTCTCTTGTTTTATTTTTTTTACACCAGTCCCTCCACTTTCTCCACATGGGATTCCAGCTATGGTGTGAGACGGGGTATGTACAGTATCGGAAGTTATCACTTTCTTACACTGAAAATAGATTTTCAATAGATACTTACATTCTCTTGCACAATTTCCACCCTTCCTTCCCACTTCTGGTATTCTTCTACTTCTTGTGGGCCTAATTTCAAAAGGGAGGTTCATGTAAAGTAGTACAAAAGGAGCCAGCTGCTCTTGGAGAGTGTCATGCTCCTATTGGTGGAGGGTTGTCACATGCTCTATGCATGCTAAATGAGCAGCTCAAACTTGTGGAGGATTGAAGCTAGTGTGTCAAATGAGAAAAATTTCTTTTCAATGCATTAGAGGGCACTGGAAGATCAAGAAAACTATGATGTGAAAGGAGTTAAGTATTTATCAGAAATCTATTTACAGTGTAAGAAAATGTGAAGTTTTCTTAAGGGTGATGTCTATGTTATGTGAACTTGAGCATTTTTTTATTTGACATTAATTTCAAAATCACAAATGTTTGTATTTAATTATTACAATAAGAGAGTTTCAGATCTTGAATAAATATATCAATAAATTGCCTTTTTTCACAATTACGATATATATATTGTTAATCCTATTCTGATTCAAATATGAATGAAATCTTCTGACAATGTTATCCTTTTTCTCCCTACTTACATGTAGAGCTACAGTAGAAGAAATTATGTATACATCAGGTAAGATAAAGTAGTATGAAACGTTTTTTGTTTTTAGATTAAAGCCTTCTTTAACTTAATGGATAGATATAATCAAATAATTTTTCACTCTTATAAAAGTACACGCATTTTATAATTTCTATGGTATCTAGGTTTGGTATGTATTTTTACAAAACATTAAGATTTTATTAATTTAATTGCATTCTTTCTTTACTATTGCATATTTATTCATTATCTTGATATCTTCTTTAACTGTTGTTAAAACATACAAATTTTATGTTTGATTATCAGCCAGAAGTATAAATGTGTGTGACTCCTGTTTGAATGCTTGCCACACATTTTAACTGCAAGTGTGAGATGTATATAAAAATTGTTCTTGATGTGGAAGTGGGTTTGATTATTTAAAATATATAATTGTTGAAGGTGTTTGATTGTAATAAAATATATATATCATATTGGTATTACATAAATATACGTATGTGTGAATCCTCTATCAGTATATAGTTCAATTGTTGTAAATTGACGTCACATGACTCAAACCTTCTGTATTTTTCTTGTTATCGTAAGTGAGTATTATTACATCACAGAATCTTGTAGTTTGTAGAAAGTTCTAGGGCTCAGTTGGATAACGTGTGTGTGTGTATATATATATATATATATATATATGTATATATAGGTGACCAAGTGAGTTTAAGTTAAGTGAAGTCTGAAAAAGTTAGGCTGCATGATTGTTAGTTTAGCCATACTGGGCAATATTTTAAAGTGAGTTTAACAGAGACAAGGAGAATAATTTGTCTTGTCAAAGAGTGTTCTAAAGTAATTGAACCCATCTGTGTGGACTTCCTTGTTATATTTCATTGTCTGTCCTATTAGTAGAATAAGGCCTAGGAAATTCCTCATGTCTGAAGGTGCAACTTCAGACCATTGAACTTTGAAGTCCTTTAGATGATGTTTTATGTTTTTCTGCAGTTTGATTATGGTAGGTACACATTTCCTGACAAAACATTTCAAACAAGTCATCACCAAACATTAGACTTGCCACGGCAGCAATACTTTTGGGTTTGGATGGAGTTATACTCATATAGTGACCCCTGGATTTCCCTCAAACATTTCCAAGTTCGGTGGAATATCTATTTCTGATTAATTATCATAATGGGAAAAATCACTAAAGGGAACATTTGTAGAATCATCATCACTTTCTGATTCAGAATCAGATGAGAGCACAACAAACATATCTTTGTAGGTCTAACAACGTCACTGTAGCTAGAGTCACTGTCAGAATGATCCACAAACACATCCACATTAGAATGTTCACCTTCACTTGGAAGATCTGACAAATTATCATCAAATAGTTCAGTAATTATCTTCACTCGACACATTACGTATTCTGCGAGAAGCCATTTATGAAAATATGGGTATTGTAAGCAAAAATCAGAAAAATAATAACAAAATAAAACGTGTCTGATTCCTTTTGAATGCAATGGCACACATAGACGCTCTGCATGAAACAAGAGTAAACTCGTGACCCGTCCGCAATGTGTTAACTATAGTGATTGTTGGATTAGAGCAACCTTAATACAGTAATTGTTTTTTTTTTAATGTGTTGTATTTGTACACTCAACTGTTTTGAGTTAAATATACAAATATGAAAACATTAAAAAAAACTGAAGACATTCCTACAGCTTAATTAAAAACAACATGCAAATGGGAATCTTGAACAAAACATTAGTCATTTGTAGCAGTGACTACTATTTTAGATAATGTTATAAATGTCACTGAAATTACATGTTTTGTCAACTAAGTTATGAATTAATTAGTTAAGGAAACATTTTTTTAAATATCCCATAAATTACTGAGTTTGAAATTGATTTAAGTCATTTATTACTAACTAATTTTAGGTACTGTGTGGATCACTTGAAATAACAAAAGTATTAAACAATTTCTAGACTCAACTGAAACTTGTAACTAACTTGGTCTTTTATATATATTTTAGTTAGCTCCCATACAGTGAAATGTTATTACATTTAGGGAAAAAAGAGTATGATCTAAACCAATGAAATGTGTTTTTTTCTGTTTCATTGACTAATTGATTCAATATTCTTAATACTGTCCTCCAAATAAATATTGGTTCTTAGTCATATTGTGTAAATGAAGAAAAAAATTCTCGGTGTATAACTAAATGGGCAAGCCAGACTAAGAAAACTTGTTATTGTTAGCACAAGACATAGCTCATCAAACAGAAATTTGAAAAGTGACTGAACAAATCTGAAGCAATGGTTATTAGGTATTTTAAAAACATCTTAGTAAATGTATAAATGTTAATACTACATATTCTTAGATCACTGAGAATAGAAATGCTTATTCATTTAATGAAGCTGTTTTAATACTTTCGATTGATATTATTCTATAGAAATTCATGCATAATTTTGACATTACTTACAAAGCAGTTTAGTAAATGAATATAAGTGTAATATTGGCAGTTGCTTGTACACTGAAAAATGCATAAAACATGGATAACTTTAGTAGCTGATTAATAAATGTAAGTTGCAGTCCTTGTTAGCTGGTATGATATCAATAAGTGGATGAAAAATTGATTTACATTCTTAAAGTATTAAATGTATTAGGGACAAATCAGTTGTTTAAAATTAAGGCAGTACATCCATACCAGTTATAATGCTGTAATACTATTATTCTACTTTTTTGAATTTTCTTCTGTGATAAGTTTTAAAATATTTTTTAGTTCTTTTTGTAAAGAATGTTTTTAAGAAACTAAAGAAATTTGTATCAGCATGAATTTTTCTAAGTCTAATACAATTAAAGAAAAGTACAGTTGATCCAATCAAATATGATTTAAAAATAGTTTTTCCTATTTTGAACGTCTTAAGTAAAGTTTCTTACTAAAATTGTTCACTAAACCTTAAATTTGAAGATGCGGAACCCACTTTAGAGAAAATAGAAGTTTGGAAATGGCATGACTGAGTAAGGAAGAAAACTTTTTTATAAATATGTAACGTTTTGACAAGATTATCCCCCCCCCCCCCCAGCTCTGCAGGAAGAACTGCATATGTAATTTGTTTTGCATTAACTCTTTTTAAACCAATTAAAGATGTTAGATATAAGCAGAAAGCTCACTTAACTACTTATCAATGTAGTAGCCGTCTGATATTCAGGCATATAATTAATTTTGATAATTAATAAAGATTTTATATTAATTCTAATTTCACATTTTTACATAGATAAAAGTACATATATTTTATAGGCATAGAGCAAAACATTTCATTGCATTTCTGAGATTTGCGCAGTGTTAATGTTATTGAGAATTGATGACTAAATACTAGCTGTGGACAAAGACTAATAGTAAAGAAGAGTATGTGCAATACAGGATGGCCATAAGGACTGCCAAAAAGAGCCAACCAATAAAGAAAAGACAGAATCATGATGAGAACTTGGCAATGAACCCATGATCAGCAAGGAAAAATATGATATCAAAGACTTCTATAAAATCATCAAAGTAATTAAAAGCAGAAATGAATTGTATAAATATCACCAATACAAAGAAGGAGCTGATTAGAAAAGATGATGAAAAACTCAAAAGATAAAAAGAGACTTTGAAGATCTTCTCAATCCATTGGAATTGTCATAGCTACACACAGAAGATAACAATGTTGTAGATGATGAACCAGAACTGCTGATGAGAAAAGTTGGAGAGACAGTACCATAGTAGTAATAATCAAAGCAATAGAAGAAGAAGAAGCAATATGGACATGTGAAATCATGTAACATGTAAGTGGCTTGGAAACAAGTACCAAATAATTAGCTCTTTCTGTAAAAACAAAGGAAGCAAAAGAAACAAAAAAGATTGCACTAAGCATAGAGGAAGCTGTACTGATGCAGTCTGCAGTCTTCAACAAATAATGGAATAAGTAATAGAACAGGACCAGAAATTAATAACTTATTGATCAAAAAATGGTCTTTGTTAGAGTTGACAGAAACAAATTGGGAGAGATTTCTGTCAAACAATGTTGTTTCCACTCAACAGATCAACATTGTAAGAACTTTATGCAAAAACAGAAAGAATTGTGTCAGAACAAAGATAGGGTCAATGAATTGGTTCAGTATGTCCATAGGGTTCGGACAAGACAGCGTATTGTCACCCTTACTCTTCATTGTATACATTGACAACATCTTTAAAAACAAATCAAGTAGGCAAAGAACTGAACAAACTGCTCTTTGCTGATGACCATGAGACAGATGAAATCCAACTACACTTCAGTGAGCTAAATGTAGAATGTATAATACATATGAAAATAAGCATAAAAAAAGTCAAATTTATTGAACAAGCCCTTCTAGTATTTGTGTAGTATTTTCATTGAGGATGAGAAACTGGACAAAGAAAGTGAAACAGGATGTGTGAAAACCAATCAAATAGCTTGATAACTCTCACCAATCCTTACCTATATCAACATCCCAACATGCACCAAATTGAATTTGGTATGTACCATCTTTTACCAATTCTGTTAACATTACCAGACTTGGATTCTTACAAATACACAGAAACAAAAGATTGTAAGAAAGGAAATGAAATGTCTAAAAAGATTGACTGGGATGACCAAAAGACACAGAATAAAAAACAAAGACATTAGACAATAACTGGGAGTATCAGATTTGAACATCTTATGAGACAGACCCCAAAGTAATGTCACAAAGACTGAGCAGCCTTAAGATTGTATTGATGACATTGAAGACATAGCAAAATCAACAGGTGAATCATTCTACAAAACCACTCAAACAGCCAAAGAAAGAGATAGAATTTCTTTTATTTCTCTCTCTAACACCCACAGAAGTATAAAAAGTAGTAGAAGGAGGAAAAACAAAATGATGACTGAATACACATTTGCACAGAAAGGAACAAATCAGTAAAACTGGGTAAATATGTATATTTATCCGAATACATTTTACAATCCATAATACAGTAAAAATGTACATTTACTTGTGTCATAGGCCTACTTATTAGCCATATTACACAGCTTTTAAAATGTAAAAAACACAAAGTTTAAAGAATATCTGAAAGATCAGTAAAGTTAAAGCTGTAAGTATTTGTCTGAAAGTTACTTTAATTATGCAGCAACTGTTTTTTATAGATGAAACACTTTTGTTGCTATACTCCTTAGGTCAGAAAATAATTAAGGTCTTTTATTGTGATCAACATGCTTATATAGTTTATTTCAGTTCCCATACGAATTACAAATGCAGAAAATAACTATTTTTTGAAGGTTTCAATATACATCAAATATATTGACCACTTTTTTAAAGGTCTTACAATATATGAAATTTTACAGTTTCCATGAAGTTAGGCCCGGCATGGCCAGGTGGCTAGGACGCTCGACCCGCAATCTGCGGGTCGCGGGTTCGCATCCCCATCCCACCAAACATGCTCGCCCTTTCAGCCGTGGGGGCGTTATAATGTGATGGTCAATCCCAGTATTCGTTGGTAAAAGAGTAGCCCAAGAGTTGGCGGTGGGTGGTGATAACTAGCTGCCTTCCCTCTAGTCTTACACTGCTAAATTAGGGACGGCTAGTGCAGATAGCCCTCGTGTAGCTTTGCACGAAATTCAAAACAAACAAACAAACCATGAAGTTAAATTTTCAAAGTTGTGTACTTATACATTTTAGAGATGCATCAGGTAATTATACTTCTATATATCTCCATATCTTCCTATAAAGTATAGCAACAGTATTTAAATAGATCATATAAATATATACACATACAGCCTCTATGTTTACTATTAAACATTCTTGTTCTGTTTCAGACCGCCTAATGTACAGAGAGACAACCAAGCCCAAGTTACTCTGAAAGGGTGGTTGTTCAGGTTAGAAGGAGGACCATTAAGGCAATGGAAGAGGAGGTGGTTTGTTTTGGCTGACTACTGCTTATTCTACTATAAAGGTAAAGCAGTACGATTATGTTTTATATGTTATATTTTGATGATAGAATCATGTAAAACATGTTTGATAGTAATGCTATACTGAGAGTGAAGAATTTTCAATTTAAAAATGTTAATTTTATAGAAACGTTTTTGGGTGTGCATAACTTCTCATGTCTAATTATTTTGTAGGATTACTCAAGCAATATGAAGTTTCAAGATTTGTGAGTTGAAAATTTAAATTATCAACATACATTTAATTGTTACTAATTTTATTTATATTTTTAGCTGTGGCATAGCAGCTTGTAGAATGGTTCTGAGTTTTTTTTCAAATACAAACTTTTAGCTCATAGCTCCATCTCTTGACCAATTTGAGATCTAATTACAGTCTCGGCTATTGAAGATTCACTCTTGCTTACTATTGAAAAAATCATTTTCCTTTCACTAGATCCTGAAGAAGACAGACTTCTTGGGTCAGTAATTCTACCCAGTTACAGGATTTCACCTTGTGCTGCTGATGACAAAATCACAAGAAAGTTTTCTTTTAAGGTGATGTTTTACATATTTAGTTATTTCACTATAAAAATGTAGAAAAATCAGCTTTCAAAATTCTAAAAAGATAAAATTTTAACTTGTATGACACCAAGATAAGTGTGGCCTAAGTGTTAAGCTGAGGATTCATGGTTTGCATTCCATTGCCACAAGATGTGTTCTATGCTTTTGGGATAGTGGGTGCACTTTAAAAGTGAAGGTTAAATCCGACTATTATGTCAGACAAGAGTAGCCCAAGAGTTGGCAATGAGTGCTGTTGACTAGCTGCCCCCCTTCTCTCTCTCTCTAACTTACATGTTCAAAATTAGGGATGCTTTACACATAACCCTTGTGTAGCTTTGTGCAAAAATCTGAAAAAAACAAACTACATGACACCACATTTTTAAGCTCACTTACAAAAGAATAATTGTATTACGAAAAAAAAAGTATATATAAAATTTTATTATAATAAAATAATAATTATTAAATGCTAACTATCCTTAGGATTTACCACAAAATTTATTTCCAAAACTTTTTTTTTCTTAAGCTTCCAAAAATTTCTAAACCACCAAAGTTAAGTAATTTTTGTCATTTTGCTACAGATAAAGTTGGTGAGCTACAAAATATGTAGACTTTGCCTTTCTAAAACTAGAAAATTTGAAGGTTTAATTATTATCTTTATATTTTACTAACTTAGAACTAATGAAATTCATTTTGTTTTTATAAAGTTAAGGAAAAACCTAAGACAAAAGTATGCACTTTCTTTGATATTGTTTAATATATTCTTCACTGCTCCTAACAGTCAATCAGATACAAATATTTTTCTAATTTTCCTTGTGATGAACTTTAATATAGGTTAAACTATGTGATTTCCCACTGTTTATAACCTTAAATTATTTTACCCATATTGCATCTTGCAGTTTGTGTACAAGTATAAATTAAAGAAAGGCAGTAAGTAATAATGTGCAATAAAAATGCTTTGAATACATGAGTGAATCATATTTATCTACTAACTATCATATAATTACTTGATGTTTTTGAGATAATTATTGAATATTTTAGTGCATATTTCAAAGTAACTAAGTTTGACAGTATTCAGTAACAATACAAATAAAATCTGCTTTGTTGATAAATGAGACAAAATGTTAGTTTAGGTAAGATGTTTCTAATGATAAAAATATTTGCACAGTTACTGCTTTTACTTTGATATGATAATATAAGTTTTTGAAAGAGTATTTTCTCCAACAATCACTTTAAGCTGAAAATGAAAATGAAAAAAAAATTGTTTTAGCACATAGATTAAAGCCATTGCAAACAGTCTTCATAGCTAAGTAATTTTCTGTTTGCAGAATTTTCTGAACTTAAAGAGAGGAAGGGACTTGATATCTTGTACGACTTGGCAAAGTTATTAAATATCTAGAGTTAGATTGTATCCGTGACTAAGATGACCTTTATTTACAAAAATACCAGATTTCTTCTGGACTCTGAGTTTTTCTCGTTGTTTTAGTTTATCGAGTATTATTGCATCATAATATCTAGTAGGTGTGGAACATTCTAGGCCTCTGTTGGAGTATAAATACACATAAAAAATTTAGTTAGATAGATAGGTCTAAACTGTGTGATAGTGAGTTTATCCCTAAAGAGCATATAGTGGTGATTTTTAAAATAAAGTTATCACAGACTGTATTGTAATAACAGAGCTGAGAGGAATATTTTGTTTTTCATTTATTTATATTGCTTTAAATGTATTCCAATATGTAAATATAAACATATATTAAAATTACTTGTATAAGTACTGCAGAATATTCTAATCTTAAATATATGGTGAGGTGTAATTATTGTAAGTAAATTACATGTATTCTAATTGTATGTTTGTATTAGCAATAGATATAGTCTTTCTCATATTCGTATCTCACTTATCAAAGTTAGTGACCAAAAAGAGCTCTCAGTAAAGACATTATTTTTAAATTTATTGAATATGAGGCTAAGAAGATGTATATACATTTCTAGTATTTTTTAAACCATCAGGACAACATACTGCAGTGAATAACAGGCTGAAAATATGAGGTTCACATGTATGTGTTGTTTTCGCACAAGTGTTAAACTTGACAGTAGTACATGTTGGAGAAGTTGTTCTTCTGCTATGTATGTAGTCAGTGATATATAATTTTTACAATTTTATAATTGAATAGTTGGTATTATATTAATTAAAATAAGTAGTACAGCAGAAGACAATAAAAAACAAATATTATTAATGTATGGGGATAGAACTTGTTTTTACGTGACAATATAGAATTTCGAATTGAAAATTTCAACATATATATCTTTGGTTCCAGAAATTGTGTAGACCTTTGATTTAACAATATTTTATGTTGTTGCTAAGCATTTGTAGATTGAAATCCTCGTAGTAAATATGTGAAAGTTTCTGTGAATTAGCTTTTATCAGATGTGTGAAAACACTGCTTTACAATATAGCTATTAATATAAATATAGAAGTTTATCAATTTAAGTTCTTTCTAAAATTTCAAAGCTCCATGACTTAACCTTTCAAGAACTGTTGAAACTTTATCTTACTCCAGATACTCTTCTAGATTATGATTTATTTCATTGTATTTTTCTTAATGAAGGCAGAACACCAGAACATGAAGACTTACTTCTTTGCAGCAGAGTCACGGGAGCTAATGATACAGTGGATGAATGCATTGTGTTTGGCAACCATCATGCAAACATTTACAAGGTAGGAAGAGAATAATAAGTTAGATTTTTGTATAGGAGATTGCATTTTATTTTTGATATAAAGAAAAACATTCTGAGACAAATGCATGTATTATTTATGGGAGTTCAAAGCTGTTCATATAATACTTTGTTTTTCTATTTTTCTCTAATATTTTTTTCAGACAATGTAGAACAAGTTCAGTAATTAAAATTCATGTAAAAGAATTGATTGAGTAAATTTTTTTACCTAACAGTTATCATACACTCATATATGTAGTTGGTATTTTCATGTATATTCAGAAGACATTCCAGTATTGACCAGCTAAGTATGCCACCTACACCAGGGTTAGATGAAGAAGAAGACTCGGGGTTCACCTCCTATCAGTCCCGGAAGTTACAGGATCGAGAAGACCCCAGAGGAACTCTTAACAGCAGCTGCGTGTCTACCCAATTTTCATGTGATCAGTCTACACAAGATCTTCCAAGAGATATTGAAGGAAATGTTGTTGTTGTTAATGATGGCACAAATGACAGTGGTTTTTTAAGTAGCAGTGAGAGATACCTGAGCCAATATGGTAGTCAGTCAGTTATTCAGTGTTCTGTTTCTCCTAGAGGAAAAACAGGGCACTCTTATTATTCTTTTGGGCCACCCAAACCAAAGAGGCTTCATGCTAGCTGTATGAGCCTCCCACAAGGTGCTCCTGACCTGGTACCACCTCAGGATATAATCCCAGGTATGGGTAGATTTGTACTACCATGTGATCAAAAACGTTTTTATGACAGTGATAAATATAACTTGGATTCTAAGAAATATAACAACTGGGGAGATGAGTATACTTACTGGACTTGGCAGGGAGATGGATATTATGAACAACAACCACAACGCTATTTATATATTTCACAGGAACTGAATCCAGGGTATGAATTATGGTCTCGGCAGAGATCTCCCCAAGATTATGAAAATTCAAACATTTACAGAAATTCTGCACAGCCAGTTAATATTATGGCTAGAGAGCCTTTACTTCCAAGACCACATTCTGATAAATTAGGAAATATGATGTTGGACTTAGATCAATCACCAGAAATGCCATCTTTAAGTGATGTGGACCACTCTCCACAGTTACAACATGAAATGGAAAAGGAGGATAGCAATGAATTGCTTGATAGAATTGCCCAAGATCCATCTTATCTTTATGATTTACGTAATGGCAGAAAATCTGGAAATATTTCAAGTGAGGACCATCTCAAATCTGTATTTGATTCTTATTATAGAAGTACTTCAAACCTTAGGGGTCAGCAATACCAAAGTGCAGTTGGTAGTTCACAGTATATAAGAAGTGCAACTGATACAGATTCAAAAGTCCTTGCCACACAAATGCACCAAACAGCTAACTCTCATGGACTTGTCTCAGCTCATCCTATGTTTATTAATGAAAATATCTATGAACCATTTGACTCCAGGCGCCAAGAACAAATTGTCCTGGTTCCACATCATAGCATGAAATCTGATGTCTTGGATATTCAAAGAAAAGCTCAACAAGAAGAATCTATCAAAAGATTTATGGAATGGAAGGAAAGAATGCTTCCTTCTCCAATGGCTGAAAAACAAAAGTTTGAAAGAAATAGAAGTGGAGAGTTTGCAACTTCCAATGAATCTCCAGGATTACCACCTCCAAGACCTCCTTTACCGGAAACGTATTGTCAACAAGTATTGCAGGATATAGAAAATCTGGAAGTGCAGCAAAAGGTTCAGGAATTTTACTTGCAAAATAATCAAACAAACAAAGCTGTGCACTCTAATCACTTCTCACCATCTAAGTCTAATGGCAACCATGAGCATTCTGAAGCTCTTTATAAGCCAAGAAGGATTTCTTATGGTGAGGCTGAACTTGAGACCCAACAGCAAGTGAGAACACCTAGTGAAGATCGAAGAGAAACAGACAAAAATCAGAAAACAAACAAACCACCCTTGAAAACACAAGGTTAGTTGAAATTTATAAGTAATTACAATGTTATTAGAATTTACTTGTATGAGTTAGTTGAAAATTTTATTTTAGAAGAACAGCTATGAAAGTGCTATACATATATACTTGTCATACCATAAAAAAAAAAAGATTTTTGTTCCAGCCAGGAACTGTTAGAATATTATGGTGATAATGTGTATTACTATTTCAAAAACCTAGAATATATTAAACCTACTGTCTGTGCTAATCAGTAGTAACATATTGTGGAATGTTCATTGTAAAACACAAAATCCACTGTTTTTTCTCCAAACACTCAAACTTGCTTGATTTGTTCTTTGTTTGATAATTGTTTTCATTATATGAGTATAGCTCTACTGGTACTCCTGCAAACTTTGAGCTATAAGTAATGGATAATGAAACATAGAATAATCAAATAAATGTTTTTTCCACAAAAATATTTTATATATTTTTTCAAATTATTTACAAAATTCTTCAGAGTGCATTATGACTTCCTATTCTTCTCAAATTTATTTTTCTCATGTAATTATTAGTAGGGGCTTGACCTGTACTGAATCCTGCTCAGGCGTGTATGCAGAATGTTTGAAAGGGGGATTCTAATTTATGACATCAAAATCCAACACAAATTGTGTGAAGCACAATCAGCATGCTACAGAGGTGTGGGGGCATGTGATTATTTCAAACCAACCTTCATCACAAAAATGGGTTCTACAAGGTGAAATACAGAATATATCATTATGACCCCCTACCTTCAATAATGATATTAAGTATACTACATCTTCTGTATTTCACGTAAGATTATTTCTGTGATAGCTTGATATATGTAATTCATGTACTTTTGGTTCTTCCTCCAGACAGGAACCTCTGTTTAGTTCTCAGTGCTCTTATATGTCCTCAGTTTGAATCTTTGGTCACCTGTTTCCTGTGCCATATTTCTAAAATCTATTTTCTTTTCTTGTCATTTGAGGGAGATATCAGTCTAATTGTATGTGTGTGTCTATATATATGTAACCAAGCTGCTGGGGAAGTCAGTTTGGAATGTTCATCTTTGGGTCAGTGTAGTCTCACTGATATGAGACTGTGTGGCTGCACCCCTTGATTGGAAGTAAAGAAGGGATGTCTACCTGGAAATTTAATACAGTAACCCCCACATTATGATCTGGAAAATTCCTAGTGGCAGCTGTGACCAGCTGGCTGGGTCTGGCATCACCTCAGAATGCAGGTCTTGTATAATTCATCCCTGCACCTGGTTACGCTGATATGTAGTGACTTGACATATTCAATGAGTTTTCCTTTGTGTGATTTATTTTTTAAGAAAAATAGCTCATATTTTTTTAATCTACACCAGTCCATCTATCATATTCTCAATGTGAAATTCTAGTCATCTGTTTTGTGGAGAAGTGAGCAGTGTTTCTATTTGAAATACATTTTTCAGGTAAGGAAACTGTTAACTTTGGGAGGGGGACAAACGTCAAACATTACAAAAACATATTTTGCTTTGCAGTTCCCTTGTATTTCCATCAATTCAGGTGAGATTTGGTGAAAAGATACTTTGTGACAAACCTCACAAAATAAAGCACACAGCTTTGGAATTTATACTTTCTCTTCATTATACAGGTATAAAGGAAAAGGACAAAATAGTGTTTTTTGGCCTGCTATTTCTTTGTCTTTTGAACAATCCATATGAGACAGCACCAAGGTACCTTATCACAACTTTCACGAAATGAAGGTGACAGATATGAGACTTATGCCTGGTTATTTCACAATTTACAGCAGTCAAAAGTGGAAAAAAAATTTTCATTTAAAACTTTAGGTCTGCTATTTTTCATTTTGACTAATTTAGATGAGACTTTGCACAACTGTCAGGTTTTATGCATGGTCCGGATTCTTTACAGTATTTGTCTGTGATTTGTTGGCAATAAATTTAAACAATAAACAAACAGCACACAACCCACTTGTTTTAGAATAAAATATTAAAACAAGTCAAATGTATATATAAATGCTTGTTACACTGTTGGTTATCACAGTTGTATCCAGAGCTTTAAATAATTGTCTCTTTTTGGTCAAAGTCCACAGAGGCTGGTTCAGTTTCTTTAGAACACAATTTTACAAGACAAATTATTCCTCTCAGCTCTGATATTACAATACAGTCTGTGATAATTTCACTTTAAAAATCATCACTGTATGTCCTTTATGGCTAAATTCACAATCATGCAGTCTATATCTATCTTTAAAATTAAATTTTCAATGCGTATTTATACTCAGACAGAAGTCTAGAATGTTCCACACACTATTAGATATTATGATACAATAATACTCAATTTAAACAATGAGAGAAACTCGGAAAGCTCTAGTAACATGATTCAATAATATAACAATCATCAGTTCATAACTATTGAACTACACAACGTACGATTCGTAAACAGTTACATAAACAAACTTGCGATAAACTATCGCTTTTGAAAATATCTAAATTTAACACTCATGCTATATAAAATATCCAAATCCTAACTTTTGCATTAAACTTAAACTGAAAGAGTTGTGTGTATCAGTTCTCAGTTGTTCATTAAGTGTAAATGAACCCAGAAAGTTACAGGAAGACCAATCACATATGATTGACTCTTTATTGAAAAAAACCTTGATAGATGACAGGCATTATGTTGAAAAAAAAAACAAGCAATAAACTATTAAATCAAACCACTTTGATGATAATCAGGTGTTTTACTTGGTCACTTATTTAAAACCAGAATTAAGATTTTATGAATAATATTGGTTTGGCTCATTTTTATTTTATTTTCCAGAGTCTCCTCCAAGTTCAGTTCGTATCAGAGAAAGTAGTAGACCAAAAGTCCGTAGAACAAGCTGGAGAGGGAAAAGCCCAGGTCACAGGAAAGCTGTGGGAAGAGCTATTATGTCAGACTCGGAACTTCATGTTCATCGGGTTTGTACCTGTATTACAAAGAAACACTCAGAAATAAAATACAAAAAGTAAACTGAGATTGGTCATTTACACTGATTACATTATATAACATGGTGTTATTTATGTGAAAAAAATTACATCATTCATTACAGAAACAGGATGTTTTCTAGAAATCAAAACCATATTGATGTTTGATATTTATAAATTACTTAAAAGCTTTCATATTGTGGCTGTATTTTGTACATACATGTATTTGTAGTACTATTGATTATTCATGGAACTTCTTTTTTTATTTATATGTGTTAGCAGTCTTCAAAGATATACAGACTAGTACAACATTCTTCAGCACTGAGTTCCCATCATAAAAGCATCAGTATTTCTGCTGGAGAATTGTTGGAGAAAACTGTAAGAATTTTATGCTGTTATAAAAAAGATATCTAGAAATGGCCATTTTTTGCAAATAATCTAGCATCAAAATTAAATCATTACATTTTTTTTCACTATAAGGCTTAATGATAGTTTGGCAATTGGTGATGAAATATGATTTTTATTCCATTTTATTAAATGTTTACATTTCATAGAAAAATTTTTCGTTTTGCTGTAAAATCATACTCATGATTTTTTTCATACCATCATAGATACGTATACATGTTTCTGTTATGTTACATAATAATTTCCCTTTTAATCTGTATTTGGAAAATTTGACATATAATTTTTATGCTGAATTTATTATAAAGAAAGTAACATTTTCTTGGCTAAAGATATTTTTTAGATGCAACCAATGAGAAAAAAAAAGCATTTTATCTTAATTATTGTAATATGCTGATTTTTATTCCAAACACCAGCTGTGATGAGTTTGAAGTTCATGTTCATTTTCCACACATAATTATCATCATATTTTTTCATCAGTATGCACAAGAAGCATGTTAAATAGAGATTATGCTGTTTCATCATCCACGTCCACACAATGTAAGTTAAAATGATATGGACATTGATGTAGAATCAGCATCTGTTCAATATTTCTTTGGTGGATTTTACACTTGAAACTAATGTCCAATTGATTTATGTCACGGATCATATAAGTTGTGACACATTAAATACAATTCAAAAATTTATGTTATTTGAGGAAGAAAAAGTTATTGAATGTATTGTTGTAATGTATTCTATTCTATGTATTGTAATGCAAAAATAACAAATTTGTTTATTTTCTTCATTAATATTTACTACAATCTACTTGCACATGTAGTCCTAAGTTCACAAAAACTTTTGAACTGAAATTCTGAGAACAAATTGTATGTTTAACTCACAAATAAACTTACTTGTTAAATTTCTTCTTGCTAATTGATCAATGACAAACACTTTATCTAGCTCAGTGGTTGGAAGTGAACTGATTCATGCATTAACTCACTGAATACTTTGCTGATTGACTGGCTAATTTACTGATTCTGCTATTTATATTGTATCCTTGTTTCTACATACTGCACAAAATTTCTAAATTCTATAGAGGCCTTAACTGTCATGAACTTTCTAGATATTGCTTCATGTGCCCTCTAAGAAACAAAGATCTAAATTTAAATATTAAAAATATAGTTTATAACAATACCAAAAGAAGGGTTTTGTCAGCAGTAAACATATATTCATAGAAGACCTCTTTGTCTTACCCATTAAAAGTTCATTCTTCCAGATGTATGTAAACAAATCTTTATTCTTATTAAGTTGGCAACATTTATGGTTTCCTTATGGATGTTTGAAATCTTTATATCTTGTAATAAAATACTACATGTGCACTTGAAAGTAAAGTTGCTGTTTATTATTTATAGGTAAATACATTTAGATTAGTTACATACTTTTTTGTAAGACTTGTATTTCTGAATTTCAGCATGAGGAACTAGTTTTGTTCCTAATCCAGTTACGACAAAGTCAAATGCAGTTGTCTAAATCACGGGAACAGTGTCAAATGCAAATGATTAACGAGCAACGCATGGGACAAGTGTAAGTTGAAGATTCATTCTTAATAGTAGAACATACTTGAATATCTTATGGGCCATGTGTCGATTAGGGATTAGTATACCCAGACTGTGAATTTCAGGGTTTACAATTCATGTCCCATTGCCCCAAAACACTTTGGGGTTATGTGTGTGTTATAAGGTAAGATAAAGAGTAGCTCAAGAATTGGCAGTGGGTGCTGTTGACATCTCTCTAGGATATTAGTTCAAAATTAGGGATGGCTATGCATTGATAGTTCACTATGTAACTTTGCATGAAAATTATTAAACAAACAGTTTTTACTTTATATTAGTCAAACAGTATCCTCTGTTTTTTAGTAACTTACTTTGGGTTCATAAGTTAATATTCAATAAAGACTTTTTTGATTCATAGGAGTAGATTATTATCAAGATGTATTATGGGTCAAAACATTATTAATTGAATATTGAAACATATTCCTACTGCATATCTGTTCAGCTCTTTTCATTGAATTCTCTTTCATGGAATATAGCACAATTGTCTCTGACTTCTAAGAAAAAACTACCTTTTTTTTTGTTTTAGGAAGCCTCATGAAAAAGATCACCAAACAAAATATATGAAGTTGTATGAAGAACTAGAAGATTTGCAAGAACAATATGAACTCCTTCGTCCGCTCATTAATTTGGTGGAAAATTTGGTTAAACTGGGAACTTTGTCTGGAGCCACTGAAAGAAAATCTGCCTCCCTCTCTCGACTTGTAAGTATTAGTAATATTAGTATTATAAATTTTTTATTATTAATAGTATTGTTAAAATTGTCAAATTATAAGTATAAGTAATGGTGGTACTGTTAACTTTCAAGCATTAATAATAATAATTCTATATTGCAAAATTGTAAGTATTAATAGTGAATTTATTGTCAAATTATAAATATTGATACTGGTGTTATTGTCAAATTGTAAGTATTAATAATAGTGGTATTGTCAAATTGGATTAGTAATGTGGTGTTGGGGACTTGTAAGTATTAGTAATGGCAGTATTGTTAAACTGTAATTATAAGTACTGGTGGTATTGTCAAGTTGTGAGTATTTGTAATGGTATTTATTGTCAAAGGACATATTGTTTTGCAGGTATTACATTACTCTTATTTAGAAAGTTAAAACTTTTTTGTTAATTATCCAACCCTTACGTTATCAGTTAAGTGATATATTCTACTTTGAACATAAACTGCTAAATGTATCAACAGTTTTAATTGTGTATTTTGTTTTAGATTTAAATTTAACTTGTTATCTGCTTTTGAAGTAATAATTTTAGGACTTTAAAAGGATTGTACATTTTTACATTTATGCAGGAAAGAGTTGGAATAGAAAAGTATATACCATCTGAGAAAATGCTGGAATTTGCTCATCATCTTCAAGAACGTCAAAAACTACGAGGCGAGATAGAAGGAGTTGAGATGATTACAATTGACAGTGAAGGCCTTGAGGTAATGTGTTTTTGTCATGTATCATATTAGTTTTTTCAATTCATATCTAATTGAAGTTTTAAAAGACCACTTGAATATAAAATATACCAATATGGTTTACATACATATACATAAATTCGAATTTCTATCATTATAGCCAGAGAAAACAGACTTTTCAAACCTATTTCAGAGTATCATAGATTTGAAAAAATATTATCCTTTCAGAATAGAAATATTATGAATATATTTTTAAACCAGTTAATAGCTTCACTGGTTTTAAAACTTTGTAAGTAATTATTAAACTCGCCACATATTCACCTCCAGATTTTACTGTAAACTTCATTGTAATAAATCTTTTAATCCTTTTGCTTTTTTTGAAGAAAGAATTTAATTTTGGAAAAAAAAATTTTACGTACATTAGTAACAGTGAAACAATGAAATCATCTCTGGCTGTAAGTTATGAAGTTAATGGAGTCAAAAATGACCGTGTTCATAAATTAATAAACCAATTTTTGAATTTAATAGGATAAGAACACCATCAAATAAAAACAGTTGTAGTTTGTGGCATGTTTTAGACTGATATCTGAAGTTTTTTCCCACTACTTTAGATGAGGGATGTATGAAGGAAATTGTCTATAAAATTAAAGTATTGGGCATGGCAGTGTTGCATGCCTGAATAATCATTGCAATTCTGGTGATTACTCTGGAGATGCTGAAGTGTAGGAATGACACCACTGGCCATGTACAAACCTAAGGTGTAATCTGCATTATACCACAAACTGAAATTGTTTATATTATGTAGTTCTCGTTCTATTTAATTAATAAAGTGGTTCAATAACACAGGTCTGTGATGATTTTATTGTTTTGAAATATTTACATGTTCTACTGTAATTCCTGTGTGCTGAATCCGAAAAATGATATCTATTTTTCTCCATCACGTACAGATTTTTAACAAAACAACATATGTACTTCAACATAAGTGAATCATTTTCATTGAAATCGAGTCACATTTTGTTATGCTCAAAATGTTGACAACCACTGGTTATAGATTTCTCTAGATCAGTTGCAACATGAGAGTCTTATCGATCATTCTAGAACCCATGAGAAACACTGCGAATATATAAACAATTAACAGGCTGCATGATGTGTCATTTCTGGATAGTATTTGTTTGTGTGTGCACTTTCACATTTTTTCTTTTCAATATTATTTATTTGTCACTATGGCAACAAGAGGTTGTGTAAATGACCCAAACATATTCTGGTAAATTTGTTGTAAATTTGATCTAAAAGTTGTTTTTTCTTCTCGATTTGTAAAAAATCCTTACGTGATAGAAAATAATTAAAATTATTTTTGAAATCTGCATAGCTGAATTATGGAAGATCTGTTATTAAAACCAAAACAACTTTTATAAAGTTTAAATTTGTAGGCCTATGTAATCTATGGACACCCTGAATTAACTTGAAAAACTTATGTTTAACAATAAAAAAACTTTAAATGATGATATGAAGATGTATTTGAAGAACTGTCGAGCATTAGTTATATTTCTAAGTTATCATGACTGATGTAGAAGGTTATGCACAGTTTCAGACTTTGCATGGTTGTTTATACTGAGAAAGAGAAATAGATTAAAGTTATTGAAATCTATCAAAATGTGTTCTTTTCAATAGGTTAACTACAAGTAAATATTAGAATATGTTTGAAATTTTTGGAATTATTTTTTGTATCATTTTCAATAGGAGAAGCTAAGTCGTCTTTATCAACTTGATTGTTTGGTCCAAGAAGAATCTTCTCACTTTGCTTCTCTTCAGAATGATAAGGTAGAATTTTATGCTTAGGTTGTTTACTGAAGAGTTTAAGTTTGTTACTATGCTTATTATTAAGTATGATAGGTGTTTGTAATAATTAATGTATTTAAACTATTATGTGAAAATTTTGATATATGTTTTATTGTATTTGGTTCATTCACATTTCTTTTTATCTACTAAAGGTACAAGTTTATTACTCTATTGGTGGGTAGCTTGTCAGACTGTGTATCTGAGGTTCTGTGGTTCATGCCCTATTACCTATAAGAATGAGTAAGATTCCACTTTTCAATTAGAGTAATCCATGACTTAACAGTGGGTGGTGTTGTTAAGCTGTATTTCCTTTAGTCTATCACTTAAAAATTAAGGACGGTTAGTATAGATAACTACTGAGTAGCTTTGTGAAAAGTTCAACAAACAACAGAATTAGTATTAAGCTTCAGTTTTGGTTTAAATTATGGAGTAACATAGAATGAAACAGCACTATACTTTGTGGGTGTAAAGGTGGAGTTCCTGTTATGAATTTTCTTCAGATATAATACTGTTAGATATACGCAACTGTTTCATTTAAATTTAATACGAGAGTTTTTGATTTAGATAGATATGAAGTGCAAGTGTTAAAGTTAGTATTTTTAGAAGCAATAATTTATTACAGGTTTGATTACATAACTGTTTACGAATCATATGTTGCATAGTTCAGTTGTTACTCGAACCTTCCAAATTTTTCTTGTTCTTTTAATTAAGTATTGTTACATCATAATGTCTTGTAGTTTGTGGAAAGTTCTAGGCCTCAGTCAAGCAATATGTATACATATAGGCAACCAAGTTAGTGAAAGTGCAAGTAAAATTGAAAAAAAAGTGAAGTTAGACAGTATGGTTGTGAATTTAGCCACAAAGAATATATAGTGGCAATCTATGAAGTGAAAGCATCACAGCTTGTATTGTAATAACAGAGATAAAGGAGAATAATTTGTCTTGTCAAAGGGTGTTCTAA